TACTTTTAAGAACCAACTAAAAACATGGATGTATAGGCAGGCCTTCCCTTCCAGTTAATTCCTGTCCTCTTTCCTTTTTTTTCTCTTTATTTGATATATTTTTATTTTTCCCATCTTATAGACTCATTTAATTAATTAATTGTTATAATTTTTAAAAGAATTTATCCTTATGTTGTAAGCCGCCTAGAGTGGTCAAAATGACTAGATAGGCGGGGTATAAATACAATAAATAAATAAAATAAAAATAATAATTTTAAAGGTAATATGCTTGGTGTTTTCTGTCCTTAATCTCCTATAAAGACTATAAATACAGTGGTGCCTCGCTTAACGATGTTAATTGGTTCCAAAAAAACCATCGCTATGGGAAAACATCGCTAAGCGAAACACCATTTCCCATAGGAATGCATTGAAAACCGGTTAATCCGTTCCAATGGGCACGGATAGCCGTCCTTAAGCGAAAATTGCCATAGGAAACATCGCTAAGCGAAACAATGTTCCCCCATTGGAATGCATTGAAGCCTAATCAATGCATTTTAATGGTTTTGCGATGTCCGTTTTCGCTATTTTTAAAGTGTCTTAAAATGTTCAAAAACTGTTTTAAATGCTTGGCATCGTTGGTGCACCTTGTAAAACCTTTGCAAACTTAATTTGGCTTTGTTCTGACTCTTCGTTAATTTTTGGTGAATTTTTTCTCCCCCATTGGAATGCATTGAACTGTAGGTGACACGGAACGCTGTTACCTTCCCACCGAGGTGGTCCCTATTAATCTACTCGCATTTGTATGCTTTCGAACCGCTAGGTTGGCGGGAGCTGGGACAAGTGATGGGCGCTCACTCTGTCATGTGGATTCGATCTTACGACTGCTTGGTCTTCTGACCCTGTAGCACAGGCTTCTGCGGTTTAGCCCACAGCGCCACCACATCCCTATCTTAAGATTTGGCAAATGTGGTGTTGAATAGCGTCAGTAATCTCTGTCTTTAAGGCTACAGTTTGCTCCTATAGCTGCAGTTTTTGAATTCCTACAAAGCATAATGTATTGAATCAGTCTGACTTGAATGACTTTGCTGACTCTCTTGCCTTCCTTGCTGTGACCTCAAAAATATCATTCAAACAGATTGTTCTGTGCACGGAACAGAAACTTAATAAATATTTGTAATTATCATGAAGCTTTATTTTTACACATTGTCAACTTCCATTTATTGCAGTCTAATAGCGAGACAACTTGCTAAAATACATGCTATTCATGCCCATAATGGATGGATCCCCAAATCTAACTTGTGGCTGAAGTTGGGAAAATACTTTTCTCTTATACCAACAGAATTTGCTGATAAGGAGTTACAAAAAAGGTAGGTGTCTACACCTGGGATGGGAAACATGTTGCCCAGGGATGGGTAATCTCATCTAAGCTAAGAACAAGTTCTATTTTGACTGGGAGCCCAAGAGCTAAAAAAGTGAAGAAAGTTTCAGTACAATCTTACACCCCATAACAGTGGCAAAGATTCCAGCTGCATTCCCATCTTGTCAGCAGCAGTTTGAGTCCTTGTTCAAAGTTGTTCAGTGGTTAACTGTTTGTAGGATATGTTTTTATGTTGAAAACAGTTAGCTTTGGTAGATTTGATTGATTCCGGAAATCTTGATTGAGACTAAATTCTTGGTTGCTGACTTCTGAGCTGGCACTGTTACTGCCAATCAGTTATTTTAAAAAATGATACAGTTACAACCATTTAAACCTAAAATATTCCACTGCTTAGTACTTTCATAAAGCTGTGCTGTGCTTTCCGTGTGTTCAAGCTGTTGCCTGACATGCAAACAATTGAGCTATGCTGGTAAGAAAAAGGTACACATGGTAAGATAACGATTTGGCTCCTTCCACTTGGCTTTGCATGCTCTCACGATAACTTCCCCAACTGCTGGATGCAGCAACCTTTTCACTTTCTGAATTGGAACGTGCTTCCTCACTTGGGCTTAAAGTATTTCCATAATTTAAAATGCTAGAATGAAAACAGACATTTACCCAAAGGTAAATGCAAAGGTATTCTTGTCTCTGTGCCTCATGAATACAGAATTGTGTTTGCAGTTTCCTTTAGAATATTCTACGTCCTGAGTATTTTGTGGCAGGACCACTCATTTAAACTTCTTTCTTTTCAAATTTGAAAGGTTTCTAAGTGATATTCCAAATCCTCAAGTCCTTCAGGAGGAAATGGCATGGATGAAGGAGAGGCTGTCTAACTTAGGCTCCCCAGTGGTACTTTGTCACAATGATCTGTTGTGTAAAAATATCATCTACAATGGAAAACAAGGTAGGTATTGAACACAGCTGTAAGTAACATTTAAGGGTTATTATGTATTACCTAATACACAGCAGTAATTTGTGGTGGGTGGTTAAGTTCAATTGTGCTTTATTTTGAATACCTTCTTATTGCTTGTAGTTTATCATTTGTTGTTTGATGCAACGTTGCAGTGCTGTAGCAGCTGTTGTATAAAATATTTTAATAACTGTATTTTATTTAATACTTAAGGGTTTGCAGAGAATAAGGATTCTGTAATAGCAATCTAATATTCTACTACAGTATGTTGACAGTAGAAAGTTCAGGACAAAGTGTTGTCTTAACTATCCTTGATCCAAACTTATTCTTTCAACAGCCTTGGGAGCAAATGTCTCCAGGTTACTGTATATTATCTCTGTATTCTGATTTGTCAGATATGTTGATGACACCGAGGAATTCTTCATGGTGAAGTATCTGGAAAGATACTTTCCAAGGCTCTGTTTATATCCTGCTGATGAGGTACATAGGTATCTTTAAAGTTGAAAATTTGTTTGTAAATATATTTGAGGTTGGAACTACTCTGGAAATGGGCTAATTAGATTTAATTTTATTATTAATTATTGACTTTCTAAAAAGAATGCTGGGTTCTAAGAGTAGAATTATCTGTAACTTTAGTTCCAACATTAATTGCTGAGTTTGGTGATACAATCAAGTTTGGCTATTAAATGATGCATTAACTAGTGCAAGTTATATACCAGCCTTGGGAATGCATGCTTCCTCCTTCTCCAGAGTGATTTTTCCTCTCTTCATGGTGTTCATCATGGTTTTTGTGTTGCATGTGCACAAATTCAAGTAGTCGCATTATAAACCAAAGTTATGAAAGCATGGTATGAAATTGAGGAATGATGTTTACATATGAACATTGCTTTTTTGATTGTGTGACTTAAATTATAATTAAGAAGAAGAGGGAAATATTCTTTAGAATGTGAGGGAGTGGTGGAACATGCATTCCTAAAATGTGGGTCTGATTTCCAGGGAGCTATTATTGTCTCACTCTTAGTGGTGTCTCAGTGGACTCAAACTGGGATGTTTATATTGCAGAGGAAGTAGCACTCGGGTCCTACAGAAAAAAAAGTTTCAAAGAGTGTTATGTCTTGAAACAGATGTTTGATTTATTCAGCAGTAAAGTTAAATATGTGACCATGAATAAATGTTTGGTTAGGCAGATCACACATATAAGCTACTCATTATTTTGCAAATAGTTTTTCTGCAACTTTTCTTCATTGCTGATGAAGCAGACTCTTAGGATACCTAGGCTGTCATGTGCCTTGCATTTTGCTAGCCCAAATACATTTGTAGTAAAACATGATTTAACCACTTTGTGCAGAAACAAATACTTCGTATATGTACCATATTTTTAAATATGTTTTGCACAGTTAAAGTTTTTAATTGTTTTTACAGTGTTACATTTCAATTGATCAAAAACTTCCCAAACACTTTTACTGAAGGGACACGAGTGGAATTGTGGCTCATCCCATTGATCCATCTGTGAAGTTCCAATCCTGGCCAGAAGTTAATACCTTGTGGTTCTTCTGCTGCAGTGTCTACTTCCACTGATGTGTCAATTATTCCTGGGAATCTGTCAATATTGCACACTTACAAATTGATTTTAAAGTCCCAAAATATGTTTGGGAGGAAATGTAAATGTGCTTGATACAAATAAGAATTACTTAGATCTGAGGAGAATGACTATTCTGTAAGGACCCTTTTCATGGTGGAACTTTTTTATTAAGTGCCATGACAAAATTCAGAATTAAACACTCAAAGTTTCAAGGCTTGACATTTGCTCGTTTGAAACAAATCTGTCATTTTCTTTTGTAAACAGAGTGGAGAATAAATCAGTGAGAGCAGTACATCATTTAAGAGCATTTCTACAAAAACCAGTGTGTGAGTGTTTAGCATTTGGGAACAGGGAGGGGGAGAGGGAGAAATCTCAGTTTGGAAAATTGTTTGCATTAAGTGTATGTAGTAGCTAGACTGTATCAGTTAAAGATAAAGTGTTTAAGGATTGCAGCACAACACATACACAGTAAAGGACAGATGTCAAGTGGCTATGTTTCTGTGTGACAGTTATAGTAAATAAATGATGGACATTACTATCATTTGCTAACTCTCACTTCATGACATCTTGTGAATTAGCCCTAGTGGTGCTTAATTTTTCTGAAGTGCAGAAATGTTGAGCATTGCTTTAATCTTGGAATATGTAAATCATGAGTAATATACTAAACTGTGTATTGTCTTGTACTGGACAACAATGTTTGTAGAAGTGGTGCAAGTATTAAGAGGAGGAATTAACTTTTGCAGTGGAAACTCAGCTTTAACTTTAACTTAAGCCAGACATGAAGTAGGATACAAATTCTTAAATGATATTTTTAAAATATTATTGATGTGCTAAAAACGTTTTGCAAGCTATTTGATTAAGAATAAACACATTTCAAGGATGCACTTTACTCTCTCTTCTGGAGCAATTCTCCTGAATTCCTTTCTCCTTTTGACTACTACCACTTAGAGCCTTTAATTTATGAATGCAATCTTAGGAAGTAACTAATTATGCCACTTTATCAAATTTCCTTTTTATTTCTATCTCTGTTGAAAATGGGCATCTGTTCCCTGCTCAGATCTTAAAACTATACAGACTTTGCTTGATACGTTGGTGATGCCATCTGTCTTGAACTCTTCAGGAAAAATTGCAGATATACAGTCTGTTCTGTCTTCCCCCCCTCCTCTTACAGATACAGTATGCCTTTCCTCCAACAAGCTCAAAGTGGTTTCCCAGCTTTCCTTCCCATCCAGTTTATCTTCACTATAGTTGTGGCGCCTAATGAGTTTCCAGTTTAGCACTTCAGCCAACCATATCATGCTGGCTATTCTTAAAGAAACATTTACCTTGGCTTATTAAATGATTTGCCACATTTGTGCTAATCATGTTCCTTTCCTTTCATGAACGGGTTATCTTTTTTCTAGAACGTTGTGTAAAGGCTCGGTATAGAGTTGAGTATTCAAAAATTGAAATTGTACCAATTTCTCACAGTATTTGCATGGTTAAATATATTAAGTTAAGCATCTTATCTTACTCTTGGATAATGGCAGTAGACATTCTGAAAGTTATTTTGAAACATTTATTCTCTAGCTTAAGTAAGTAAGTAAGTAAAGTTTTATTATGCGGTCATAGACCTGATTATAAGTATATAAAATACAGAAAATAAATACATAGTATAGTATAAGATCTTTCTATCGCATTTTGCAAATTGTCATAGCTGAAAATAAAAACTTAGCCACGAACTGTGTGATTGTTTGATTCTCTCCAGACAACAGAAATTTCTCAAGCTTAATTTTTCATTATTGTCTTTATGAATTGTTTCCTAGCTTGGGCCAGTCTCTCACAGATCTTACATTTTTTAAAAAACAGTTCATTCACTTCACTGGAAATTTGATTCTGTTTAAAGCACTCTAGAAGGTGAAGCTGCCTTTCTTAATTTAGGCCACTGGTTTTGAGGACATTGAATATATATGCAGTTTCTATAATTGATACCTATCATATCTATAAACAAAATAATATTTGCATCTAACTCTAGATTCCAGACTCTTAAGAAGCAGCAGTGGAAACTTTGTCAATTCATATTTAATTGTTTCCAGAAAGAAAGTAGTGTTGTACTGCACTATTCTCTGTAATTTCTGCGAAATGCATTTCTGTATAATTTCTATGGTTAATCCACTTGCTATCTTAGCTAGAGTAGGTTCATTGAATTAGCTTGATGAATTTTACTCAGCACTTACATTAATCATTTTGATTCATAAGCCTACTGTAGATGAATTTGCAATCAAACTGTATCATTCTCTCTTACTACTTTGCACTTACAGATTTCTTATTCTGACAGGCTACGTAAAAGCCATACTTCTGTAGAATAGATTGTCCAAACTTTCACTAAATGTTCTTAAAATACCTGTTAACCTCCAGTGCATTGCTGAAATCAAGGAGAATTCCATGTCTTTAATTCATCCCAGGATATCTCTCATATTACACCTGAGATGTAGAGTGGAGAGTTGCAGTTGGAAGGTGGAATTGGACAGAAACGGCTTGTGATAATGTCTCTGCCATATTGCTCCCTAAACCTCTGACTCCACATATTAGGTGCTTTCTTTACCTATTGTTTATGAAATTGGTTAATCTAAGTGGCATTCTGTATGTTTCTTCAAAACCATTTTCTCTAAGTATAGCTTTATTCATATTTTAATATTATTTTCTTATAAGTGGTATATAATAATAGAATTGTAGAGCTGGGAGGGGACCGCAAGGGTTATCTAGTTAAACTTCCTGCCAGTTTAGGGATTCACAGCTAAATTGGTTATCCAGTCTTCTCTTCATTTAAAAACTGCAAATGAAGCATCACCTTCCAAGGTAATTCATTCCACTCTTGAACAGGTATTGCTATCAGAAAGTTCTTCTTAATGTTTCATGTTTCAGTTAATTTTAAAGCATTGTTTCAAACTCATTTTCCCAAGGACCTGAGGATCCAAGTCTTATGAGAAAGAATGGCTTTGCTTCATGAATCCTACTTTGTAGTTTATTTTTCAAAAGACACAAAGAATAGTTGGCTTAGACATTGATAAGGTTATGTTTATCTATAGTCCTATGTCTTTGGAGTCCAAAATAAAAGGGAGCTGTGCATCTTGAAGATTTGTATTTCTTGCAAAACCTAAATTTAAGGCTGAGTTCCACTGTAATGTGAGTCTGGAAAAGGAAGAGCAGTGAAATGCAGAACTTTTCTATTTAAAGTTTTGTGTCTTATCAAATATGAGTTTGCCAAATTTTCTTCATCTGCTACAGATTAGGTATGCCATTGTTGCTGCCAAGTGGCGGCGTGCACCGTGCTACTTAAAGGCACTGACTGGAGGTTTATCGCATCACTTGTTCGCATGCACCTCCCCCCTAGGAGAGCACGGAGCCTGGTAACAGCCTCATCTGTATCTTAGCTTCATTTTCTTACTTTGTAAAACTGTTAATTATAACTGGAAGTTAGCATTTGAAAAAAGCAGAGGTTAGCTAATGGTGATATCAGCACTGTAGACATATATCCTAAAACATAACTTGAGTGCAAAAAATGTTTATCTTAAATAACTGTCTTAATACTTCATATATGCGGGCCTCTCACCTGCCATCTCTGTTGTCTTGTTTTTTAAATGCAAACATTTGGTTAAATGTATATGAATGGGCTGCTTTTAAAAGTTAGCACCATTGTATGGCTAAAAGGCATTAAAGTGGAGTTGGGTGTGGAGTTTTTATTGATACATTTTATAAGATTGAATTGAGTGGTTTAGGAAACAGTGATCATTTAGAACATAAGAATTTGTTTCATCATTTGCCTTTAGGGTATAAATTACTCTTTGGCTTGTTTATATGTATGTTGGTGTGGAAGACTCCATAGAACTTAAAATCCTGAAATGTTCTAAATACCTTGTTTACAAGGCTTTAAGAACACAACTATGCTACATACATGTATTATCTTCATCTGTTAACCATAACTGATTCATGGAAAATGTAGTTGTGGCAAGAGTGCAAAAGAGGTTAGAAAATCTTGGCCCTCACATACAGCTGTTATTCTCAGGGTTCTATTTGAAGATGGAGAGGCTAGTTAATCTATATAGTGTAAACAAGTATTACTGGCAACATGTTCTAGCAGTGGGAACACCTAAATACTTACACTGACACTGCACCATGTTTAAACAAAATGCTGTTTACTACCACACTCTAGCATATTTTCACTGATAGGTTATTAGTAATCTTTGCCATCTGAATGTAAGGTATACACGTTAATTTGGAACACCTGATTTTTAATTAAAATCTGAGCACATTAATATCTGAAAAGGAAAATGTAGATAATTATCTCTGAATACTACGACTTATTAATATGCAGGCTTTTTGTTCTGATTGGAGAAGTACTTGCTTCAGAGAGTATGTGCGACAAAGTAGATAAGTAGTAAATTCTTACAGAATGCAATCCTGTAAAAAGGAAGCAATGGCTGTAGACAGAAATACAATATTGCATACCATCCCTCATGGAAAACTGCTTATAAAGCATATTTAAAAATGCCTCTAAAGATGCTTGCTGATAATACAATAGCATACAATCAGTAATTCTCATTATTGGAGTTTGAACATACAGTAATTGATGCCCGTGGTAGGAAAGCAAAAGTGCTGTTAAGATTTTAATCTCCATTTAGTGGGTATGGTCAAAGCAGTTATGAATGTCTATCTTTAATAATAATGTCATTGTGTTTAGCAAAAACACAACCTTAATCCTGGAATGTCTTAAATATGCATGCAACTGACCACATCAGACTGGAACACACTGGCAGATATTAAAAGGAACAGTGAAGATTCAGGATATTTTCCCATATTTACACTTAAAAATTCTATTCTTTGTGTCTCGTGTAGGTGACGTTAAGTTCATTGACTATGAGTACTCTGGATATAATTACCTGGCTTATGACATTGGGAACCACTTCAACGAATTTGCAGGTATTTTAGCAATTTGTGCTACATGTGTGAGAGATTTTGATTGCTAGAGGAATATGGACCTCTTTTCCCTCCTCTGCTTCCCCAAGAATTTTTAACAGAAATGTGCTTATTTAACTTTCCATTTTATCCCTTCTCAGTGCATCTTTGTGTTTGAGGTGTGGGAAAGACTACTTGTGGTTTGAAATACATTAGGTCCCCCATATCCACTAATGATTGGTCCCAAGGCCCCTTGTGGATGCTGAAAAACATGGATAATAGCAAAAGCTATATATACAGTAAGGGGGGGGGCAAGAAAATATATTTTTACATGTATTACCAGAACTGGCCACTAGAGGTTGTCAGAGACCATGCTATATACCGTATTTTTCGCACCATAAGACACACTTTCCCCCCCACAAAACAGGGGTGGAAAGTCTGTGCGTCTTATGGAGCGAATAAAACATTATATTTTCCTGTTTTCCTCTCCTAAAAAATTGGTGCGTCATATGGAAAGGTGCGTCTTATGGAGCAAAAACTACGGTATTCTTCACTAACAAGTATTCATAGCAGGGCCTCTGGCTCCATCTAATGGCCTGTTTTGGTATTGCATATGACAATTTTTTCAGGATTTTTTCTTTTAATATTTTAATATTTTGAGAATGTGGATAAGTGAAACTGAAAACCACATCAGTATCACAATACGTGGCAAAGGAACAGCATATTTTAACTCATAACCTTGTTGCACACAACATCCATAAAGTATGTTCTTATGTTAGAAGTTGCAATTTGGGTTGTCAGCTGTTTAAAGGATTTTATTTCTCCAGTCATCAGCCTTTTAGCTATTGAATTGCATATAATATCATGTCTTGTTCATCAGAACTTTTATATATGTTTTGTAAGAATGAAAAAAGTACAAAAGAAGCCCTGTTAATGAAAACTCACTAGTTTAGGTTAAAAAGGTAAAGGTTCTCCTTGTTAATTAAGTCCAGTCGTGTCAGACTCTAGGGGTTGGTGCTCATCCCCATTTGTAAGTTGAAAAGCCAGTGTTGGTCTATAGACATTTTCCATGGTGACCTGGCAGGCATGACTAGACACAGAACTCTAAATTAAACAAAATAATGCTTGCAGACATAGCTGTGATGTACACTATGTGCTGCACAAGAAATATATCTCTTAAGGTTTTTTGCTTTTTGTGAAATAATACTTTAGGTTAGCGCTCTTCTGGCTTAGTGTGCCAAAATAAGTACAGTGGTGCCTCACATTACAATGTTAATTTGCTCCAGTGAAATCACTGTAGAAGGAAAATGTCGTAATGCGAAAAGAAAAAACCCATTGAACCACATTAAAACCCGTTTAATGCGTTCCAAATGGCTGTAAACTTACCGTCCAGCGAAGATCCTCCATAGGGCGGCCATTTTTGCTGCCTGTGCAGCAAGGAATCTGCCCCAGAAAACAGCGGGGGCCATTTTGTTTACCCGGCGGCCATTTTGGAACCGCCAATCAGCTGTTGGAAAATCGTTGTTTTGCGAAGAATCTGTTCCCAAAGCCGGGAACCGATCATCGCAAAGCGAAATTCCCCCATAGGGAACATTGTTTTGCAGTCGCAAAAGTGATTGCAAAAAATTCATCGTGATACGGTTTCATCGTTAAATGGGGCAATCGTAAAGCGAGGCACCACTGTAACTTGATTTCTGTATTTTTATTGGTAGCTTTGTGTGCTATAATTTCCTCAGTGTTCCTATTGGTAAATTGTTGAATGTCACAAATTTAGATTTTTAGGCATATTGGTTAACAATTAAAATATAGTGTGATACTGCAGAAATGCATAAGCTTTCTGGAAGTGTTAAGTTTTCTTGTTTTCTCTTTTCTTTTTAAATACTGTTTTAGGAGTCAGTGAAGTAGATTATAGTCTCTACCCAAGCAGGAAGCTGCAAGAGCAGTGGCTGCGAGCCTACCTGGAAGCTTACAAGGAGTATAAAGGATTTGGAACAGATGTCACTGAGAAAGAGGTTGAGGTGCTTTATGTACAAGTCAACCAATTTGCCCTGGTAAGTTGAAGATTTGTGTGATGTTTAGACATTCCTTTTACATATAATTTCTTTACCACTAAGTATATATTCTAAGTAATACACAATACCAGTACAAACTAATGTGTAAACATAAGCTGAAAACAAGCCCCCTTTAAACTTTCCATTAAGTGCTTAGTGTCTGTGGTAGGATTTTAAAAAGTAAAATAAAGTATTGCTAGGCCAGTGGTTGCCTTTTTTTTTAGTTGCAATCTTTTATAATAGTCAAGGAACCTGTGAACCACCTTGCCCACCACATTTGCATAAAGAGCCATTTTTAATAGAGTAAAACCATGCCTTCTCAAAAGGTAGAAGTTTCTTTCTCTGCCAAAGGGCCTGTTTCTCATAAATGCATATACCTGTACATGTTAACTTTAATATCTGACTCTAAGGTCAAGAAAGAAATTACTCAATAAAGACAACAGTATAAAGATATAAAGTGTCCTTTGACACACACACACCAGAAAATACTTTACAATCTCCTTGGAGATTCCAAACCCCCAGGTTGGAAAACAGTGTGTTAGACTTTTGTTACCTGGCTGTCTTAATACCAAATCCAAACAAGCTGTGGTATGCAATCTGTGAAAAGTCATAGGGATATGTACAAAATAAGGTGATGATGGTGTTGAAACATATGTGGTACACCGGCCATTCTAAACTGGGGGACATTCGCAAATTTGAAGGGGCCTCAGATTGAAAACAGTTCTTCACATACCACTTTATAAGGTTCATTATTGGACTTACACAGTCCTGGGGTCAGGAGAGCCTTTAATAATCACTGCATGGGTTTAGATAAGGCTTCCCTGGGGCAAAATGGAGACCCAGGGAACCTGAGAGCAGGAGATAGGAAACTTTCTATCAGTTTCCTAAATTCAATATTTTTACCTGTGCCCGATTTGGGTTACGCTGGCACAAAGCTATGCCTATAAGATTTTGCCCAGCATGTAAGGGGATATGTTAGGTAGGAGAAACAAAAATTGAATTTTCAGTAATAAGCAGAATGATTAAGAAGTGCATTCTTTATGTGGCTAAGGAAGATGATGTTGGCATGGTAATGATTTAATAGTGCTAAATGTTTTTGTTTGTTTTTTGTTTTGAATCTTATTGCAACTTTGGTCTTTAAGCAAATGCTACAGGAACCTATGTCTGTCTCTAGTTTGAAGTTTTACCAGGAAAACTTCTAAGCATTAAACAGTACTTTTAGCATTCTGGAAAATTGCTGTGGCAGATAACGTAGAACCAGGATTTCAGCCATTGTGAAGATTGAAGACTGGTTTTTCAGTGAAGTTTTATCCATAAACCTCACTGTGTTTCCAAATAGAAGGTGAAGAATCCAGATGCTTAAAGTTACACCAGTGTAAATCAGATTTGGGTCTGGAAATAATTAATTAAAACTAATTGAAACTTCCTATACCCTCTCCCTCTTCATGTTCCGAGTCTCCCTAGGGCTTTCTTTTGTCCCGGGGAAGCCTTTGGAAGCCTCAGTACAGGAGAGAAGACTTTAATAGTAAAAAAACAATTTTAGTGCTGTCAGCTGGTGATGATTTTTGACTGTTAAACACTGATATCACAAATCATTAGGTTCCCAAAGTCTTCTCCAGGACAAAAAGGATTCCTAGGGCATCTGAAAATGAGGGACAGGAGGTTTTCAATTAGTTTTAATTGTTTCTGTCACGGGATTTGGTTTACATCAGTACAAAGTTGTACAACAAGATTTTGCCCTTGGGGTTGGAACATTTTTTCCAACTCCAACCGAATCCCGCTAGTACATGTCGTCTCCGGAGGGTACCTTGCGGCAGAAAATTTGTCCTTGCTCTGTCATAGTTGGCCACTTGTGCTGCAGTTCTTGTTGAAGAAAGCAAATGCATTTTTCAGAATCATAAAGTAGACCTTCTGTTATGGGAGTCCTCTGTGATTTTCCATTGAGAATATTGTAAGAGTAACCAATATTGTGCAGTTGTTATGAACTCAAATAGTAAGTAGGTGCTATAAGATCCTTCAGTTGCTATATGTACTCAACTGTTCTCTGAATACGTTGTCCGTTATGATAGTACTAATGAGATGTTGGATATAGACGTTTTTGTTACTTATCATTGATGTTTGTTTCTCTCCGCAGGCCTCTCATTTCTTCTGGGGATTGTGGGCCCTAATTCAAGCCAAATATTCCACCATTGACTTTGATTTTCTAGGGTAAGTATCTAAGACTCAGGAGAATGTGTGCAGGATTAAAGTGTGTGTATAGATATTTGTTCCACATGTATCTTTTCAAGGGAGGTCGACTGTTAAGTTTGAGATGAAGTATTTTAGGTTAAAATTATCCATAACTGACTGTTTCTAAGATAGAGGTTTCATATTGATAATATTTTACAAAGTCACTGCTTGAAAACTTTAAAATAGTTTCTATCATTTAATTATTTAACATGTGCTGGTTTTGTGATACTGCCTCACTTCAACCTTTGTGTGGGTAGACCCTTTTCTAGTGTAACCTACTGTATTAAGCACCTGGAATTCAGCTACAGTGATGCCCCACATAGCGACGATAATCCATGCAGCAAAAACCGTCGCTATACAGATTCGTTGCTATGCGGGGAAAAATAGGAATGTATTAAAACCCATAGGAATGTATTAAAACCCATTTAATGCGTTCCTATGGGCAAAAAACTCACCTTAAAGTGAAAATCCTCCATACGGCGGCCATTTTCGCTGTCCGGTAAGCAAGGAATCCGTCCCTAAACACAGCGGGTGGCCATTTTTATAACCCGGCGTCCATTTTGGAACCGCCGATCAGCTGTTCTAAAAACATCGCTATGCGAAAATCGGTAAGCGAAACAGCATACCGATCATCACAAAGTGATTTTTTACCATTTAAAACATTGCATTGCGATCACAAAAAAAGTCGCTATGCAGATTCGTTGTTAAACGGGGCGCCCGTTAAGCGAGGCACCACTGTAGTTTGTAAGAACCAAGATGCTCACTGTGTTCATTTTGGCCTTTCACTGGATGGAATGTCTTTGGAACCTAGATCAATCAGTCCCTAGCTGATTTATTGTGGCTTATTTGTTGTCTGATGAAGAACTATTAATTGTATACAGTATCCACATATCACAGCTGAATTGGACAGTGATTTCTTAAATATGCCAGACATTAGTTATCCACTAGATGGCAGGAGAAGCTAGAATTAACTGCCATAATTTTATATTGCAAAATTATAATAAACCATGTAACAAATAATGCAGTGATTGATTTTATATTTCTGTTTCCTCCTAATAGGTATGCAATTGTTCGTTTCAATCAGTACTTCAAAATGAAAACTGAAGTCATGACATTAACACTTCCTGAGTAACAACTGGAAACTGGTTATCCACATTTGATAAGATTCCTTCCTGTTTTTGTTCTGAGTACAGATAATGGAAAAAGCTAAATCTTCGTTAGTTTTGTAATGTTCCTATGGTGTTTTTTTCTTTTCTTTTCATTGGTTCTAAACAACACTCTTTTAATGTGAAACCTAAAATGAAGATCTTACTATGTTGTAGAAGGAGTAGAGAAACATTAGATTTGTAAAACATAGGGAGAAAATATTTAATCCTTTCTCTTGTAACTTTTAACATGGTATGTGAATTATTTATTAGGAATGTAACATTCCATTGCTGCTTTTCATAAGTTGTCTTTAAGGGAGGAGGTGTAAGGCTATAAGGTTTTTGCATCTCACGTTACATTTGCGTAATCAGTATAAAACCATTCGGTGGCAAATTGTACAAAATCTACCAATTAACAGGAGCAATTTGCACTGAAGTGTGTGTCACATATACTGATTAGAGAATTAGGACAGATCAGACAAAGTAATTTTCAAGCTGTTACTACTTCAGGCTCTGTCTGCATACTGCCCCAAGGGTGGGTTTGCCATCCTTGTATTAACATACAGATGAACAACTGCAGAATCTTGCATACATGCAGAAGGAAACTTGCTATCATTTAATCCCTGAATAAGGTTTAAATTGGTAGAAGACAGCTTTTAACTTCAGATGTAAGCTTTAAAATACCACCGTTCCAGAGTGTAATGTCACTTCCTCCCGTAAGGATTTTTTCCAAACACTTTGAACAGTTCAACATATAATCTGGCAATAGACATGTTTATAAGATACTGTAGTGAAGCCAACGGGATAAACTGCTCAACAATACTGTAGTGTTTCAGAGCAGAACTGTACTGTTGAAGTTAACAAATTGCTTAATCTTTTTTGCTCTTGTAATTTTCCTTGCCTTGATTTCTTGTCTTCAGTCTTTAAACCTATTTGTTGCTAGACTGTCTGTTTTCTTTGCCAGATGATGATGAACTCATTACTCGCCAAAAGCTTCAAGGTTAAAATATCATTATTGAAATATATGGTGTTTGAAGAGTAAGGAATTGATCATGGACATATTTTTCTTTTTTTAAGCTATCCTACCAAGAATGGTTTGAATTCAAAAATGTGAAATGAAACAAATGTTTACTTAGTGTGTATGTGTGCGTGTGCGTAAGTGTGTGTTTAAGAATGGGGAAAAGGCTTTAAATTTTGAGAGTCACTGCAGTGAATTGAATAGTTACACAGCTCTATTAGTCTGAAACGTTTCAATTTGGTCACTTAAGTGCCCATATGTACAAAGTCTGTGTTTATACACAGTGTAATCCCAAATATACCTTAAGTAGAAATATTATGGGGAGCCTGTTGCACAGACTCCACAAGAATATTTATTCAGAATTATTTTATTGTAGTGTGTAAAATAAACATCTGCTAAAATAAGCCTGCCTTGTTTGATGATACATGCAGCAGTTAACATGGATGGAAAGTTCACCCCAAAGATCACTGAATGGTCTCTGTTTAATGATACAAAATCTCATGATTTTACGTATATTTTAGGTGTAATTTTAACAAGCCACTGTATTCAAATACCCCACACAGGAGTGGTTCCATTAGGCAGAGGAACCAATAATGGAAAGTAGACTGCAACGTCGAACTTAGTTATTCTTAAAATTTTAATACTACTAGTAAGCTATGGTAGATGCATTTTAAAGCACTTATTGGTGTACTTTCTTGGCAGTTTGTCTTGTTTAGTGTTAAGCTAACTCGTTAGAGGGGAAAATGTATTTTATCAGGTAAAGGATGTTTCTAGAGCTCTAGAAAATTCAAACTGAAATCACTCCTAAAAATTGAATTCAGTTTTGTTCTTTGCCTTCATTTTAGCATATTATTTAATCCATAGCATTATAAAATAATCAGTTCAAGGTGGTATGTTTCTAGAACGAAGTGGCTTCAAATGTTCACATGTAGAGAACAAAAATATGCACACTGAAATACTGGAAGTATATGGAATACTTTTTAATGGCAGTTAATTTGTTAGTTACATGAAACCTCTTCTGAGATTGACTAGAGAGAGGAGGATATGCAGGTGTCTCCTGTATTTCTAATTGTATGTGCTGAAGTTCAGTTGGTAATTTTCTGGAGCAGGGGGAAGCCAGGTTGTTGTTTGTGCTACTGACTGAAATGTTGCTGCTTATCACAGTAAGTTGCAGCTAGAGGAGGCCATTGAAACAGTGAGGATTGGGTGAGTCAACCCCTTCATAAAATCTGCTGATTCAGATGGGCCTTGTCTGGTTGAGACTTACTTTAGTGTAAGTTGCAAGTAGAACAGGTAATTCAGTGGAACTTGCAGACTTGACTCATCAAATCCCCCGTTTCAGTGGGCCTACTTTAGTTGCAGTGTACTGTGCTAAGCAACAGGCTGGGCAAACAATTTTGTTATTTTTATAAGCTAAACTTACTATATATAGTAATTATAAACTTACTGTTCCCAGCATATTCTGTAGAAAAATGTTTTGAACATCCTTCATCTATTCTAAAACAATGTTACTAATGCTGCAGGTCAGGTTAAGAAAGAACACCCTATTTTGAAGACCAATATGTGCAGCTTAGGCTAGGGAAATGATGTAATATCTGTGGTTGTATCTCTTCATTTGAGACTATCATGTCCTCAGTTTCTACTGAGTTCATGAGGTGGCCTTGTAATTTTGCATTAATTTTCCTCAGTTTGTTCACATTTCTTGAATACTTGAACTCTTTCTTTTCTGGAGCTATAGAGACAACCTTTTGTAATTTTGGTTGTAACTTGCCAACAAACTTATCTGTTGCCTTTTCAGCTAAAGATTCTGAATGCCATCACCCATGATGCTAGTAGAAAATGCTACAAACATAAAGAGGGTTATTAGCAATGGCATTCAATCCTGCATAACATCAGCCTACAGACCGTAGTGGCCTAGTAGCTTTTGTAAAGCAGAATTGTGTGATTTTTTTTCCATTTGGCAATCAGACCAAGTTAACCATCATACCTGATTGATCCAGACATCATAACCTCCAAGGTAATAATGGTGGATTAAACATTGGAGATATGTATTGTTTTGAACTCTGGCCTGGGGTTCTCATTGTGAATTATGTAGAAGGGGTAGCTTAGCTTGTTGATTTATGGTAACCGGGTCTGACTGTGTATATAAAATAGTGTAAATAACCATTTGTAAATTAGTGTGAATTGTATGGTACCTTGCATTTAAGAACTTAATGTATTTCATTGTATTCTCCTTTTGTAGAAATTTTGATGCAAAGAAAACCTAATTCTTGAGATGTGCTAACCTCTTGTTGTTAAATTGACCACAATCAAGGGGAAACCCCATTGAGAAACAATAGGATGCAGTATCTAGAGATATACATTAGATTTCATAATGTATCTTTCTCATTGTGCCTGTAGTGTCTGCTTTCATGTTTGCAATAACTTCAGAGGAAAACACCAATCTGAAAATGAAAATATTACCACAATTACGGGCTTTAAATGACAGTGCCCACTATTCTTCTAAGCCCATTGGATAATTAGAAGAAAATGTGCTTTATCACTTGAGATAAGTAATGAATTTCTGCTCTGGGGCCAGCTAAATATTGCAGTTTGTTAGTGCATAGATAGATGGCTTTAGCACAAGAAGCTTGCACAAGTTCCTTTCTTGGAAAATAGAGACTCTTGTGCAGGAAAGAAAAGGATCAAAAAAGCTTTTTTAGATAGGCAGGGCTAATGAAACAAAAATATGTTAATAATATGAACCAATCTCTGTTTTAATTTGGCATGCCCCTGCAGCAGATACACAGTGAAATGCTAGAAGAAAATGAAATGAAATGTTTATGTAAAAAGAGCCTTTTTAGAAGAACCTCTGTTAGTATTTAGCCTGCTAAATGTTTAGCTGTTCCTCCTTTATCCAGGGTTGTGTATCCTCTGCCGCATTGATTTTCTGAAGACGAAGCAAAAACGTTGTGCAATCCATTGGGCTGGGGGAGAGGTTTTGAAGGTTGTTAAAATTGCACACATACAGGTTTAGTCTATTTTTCCACTACAACATAATCTCTGGGATCACAAGTCTCTTTAAACGAATCCAATTTCTTTGCTATGGCTTCCATCCCTGTACTCCTTGTCAATGGTAGCATGTGCATTAAAGAACATGTATTTCAGTCTCCTGAACTCAACTTTTGTGTTTATTTAATCATTAATTTTGATTTCCTCTCTACCCCCTCCTCAAAATAAAATAGGCCTTGAGCAGTTAATTTCTTAGTGTATCTGTGAAGCTTGAAAATGTCTATAGTAGAACAGTGAACAGTTCTATTTCCACTTAATTTCAAATCCCCACATTTTCCTGCTGGGTTCAGTTTATTTAGGATTCTCAAAGTTATGGGCAAATAAATTGCCTGTTTGTATGGAATGTAGACATTTTTAACTAGCAGCAAGCTTTGACTTAAGGAGCAAGACTCAAAGGTAATCATGCATGGCCAAGTAAATATTGGCATGTAGATCTTCGGAATGGAAAAAGTAAATATAAAAAATACTTACACATACCTGTAACAAAAAAATTTGATGGCACATTTTTTTCAAAGGTGTTTTAGCCAGTTAATATATAATACCATAGTGATGAAGTAGTCTTTCTGTTTCCCAAATACAGTGGGGTCTCGACTTACGAACGGCTCGACATACGAACGTTTTGACTTACGAACCGCTCTCATAGGAATATATGAACTTGACTTGCGAACTTAGATTCAAGTTACGAACTCTTTTTTTCCTTTTTTAAAAAAGCTAAGTCATTTTAGGTTAAAAGAAAAAAAGAAAAAAATCCCCCTCTAGTGGCAGAAGGCGGAATAGCAGCTTCCCATTAATTTCTATGGACGAAAAGAGCAGATACGGATTAAATGGTTTTCAATGCATTCCTATGGGAAATGCAGATTCGACTTAAGAACTTTTCGACCTGAGAACTGCCCTCCAATACGGATTAAGTTCGTAAGTCGAGACCCCACTGTAGAAAAATGCATATGACATATGGCTGCCACCTCTTACATGATACTCTTAGGTAATACTCCTCCCCTCAAACCTGGCCACTTTCTCTAAAAGACACATGTTTTATTTATACTGACAGTTTAAAAATTGCTGTGGAGATCTTCAGTTTTTCTCATAGAAGCAGAGCTCCTTTTTAAAGAAAATGAATACATATTTGCTTAGTTAACATTGAAAAACAAAAGACCTAAGCACTTGTGTGGGAGTCTACAATTTTGACAACCTTTTTGAATTTGAAACTTAGATTTTTGACTGAATGGTCTTGGAGATGCTCATTCTTTTTGACCTGGCTCTTACAGATTTGTTGGTTACTGTTAAGACACTTAAATGACTTGTCAAGCAGTGCAGACTTAAAATTGCTGTAGACATTACAAATGGTGGTTGCAGTAGTTCTTGGGACACCAGAGGAAAATCTCGATGATAAAATGCAGCATCCAAGATAATAGTAAATTACTGACTCAACCTCATTAATTTCTGTTGGGTGTTGAGTATAGAATGGTTTCTCAATGCTTTCTGGAATGCCCTGTGTATACAGCTGTCCAGTTTCAAAAATAGGCCATAATTGTATAAGGCTGCTTTATATCTGTTCAGTTAGTCTCAGCACTGAAAATCTTCTGGTACCTCAGTTCAGTTTGGCATTTAAGAGTTCATTGGTTTCATCTTGAGTCCTACTGTTTCTATCTCTCTGATAACAGCATATCAGGAGCACTTCCTATGACTTGTATCATCCTGTTACAGTTTTAATCCTGTGTCTGTTCTGTCCAATCTTGTCCTGTGAAGGGTTTGCTTGTCTAAGGGAAGGATAAAGTAACCTCATCTGTATGTTATAAATGGGATTAAATTGTGCATTCTGTTCATTGGCTTGTACTGAAGTGAAATGTTTTTACTTTTAAGCTAAGCATTGTTGAAGCTATGTAACAAGGCCTTTTACCATTGATTTCAATGAAGGAATGTATCTTGCAAAGAGATTTATATTATGTAAATAATTCAAAATTGGCTGTAACAATAAAGCTGGTTTCTAACTGTAGTACAGATCTTTGTTCAGATAATTTGTTTGACAGTTGTTTATAAAGTCATTGGCAAGCCATTTTCAAAGGCAATAGTTCTGCAGTAATAGCAGCCATCATACATTAAGTCATCAGATATAACTCTGTTCCATCACCTTACTGAAGTTCTAAGTTGGAAGCAGTATTAATTAATTTTAAACACTCAGATATGCAGTAAAACAAGTCTATACACTGTACTTTTAGAGAAATTTTGATTTTCTTATGAGATATGTGAATGTAAGAGCTGTGCCAAATAAGCACAGTTAGTCCAGAAAATTTATAATGATCCCTCTTCATTATTTTTCTCACTTGGAAAATGGGGAGCAGATGAGTCTCCCAGACTTCCCTTGGTTGACAATCCCTCATAAATGCTCCATCCTGTTCTTCCTCAGTTCATGCACATGAAAAGATGTGGGATTTGGCAAGATTACTTTTGCCTTTTTATGAACACTTTATTGCTTTGTAGTCAGTTAGGCTTTACAGCCTTGAAAAATAGTAATTGGCGTCTAATACAAGTACACGCAAACAGTTCAAAATGCTTAAAATAATACAATAATAAGCATTTTACATTTTAACAAATTTTTAGTTTGATCCATGAGCGCATTAGAAAGTGGAACCATTCAAGTTTACTCTTCAGAATTTAGAAAGCTGCCTTTTACCTAGTCAAAATAATTATCCATTTAGTTTAGTCTTCTATTTATGAAAATTAGTTTTTAAAATATAATTGCAAAAGGATAACGGTAAAGGGGTGGAGAGGAGGCTAATATCTAATTAGGGCTAGGCATATATTTTGACACTAGCTGACTGTTCCCACAGAATTTACTCAGAATTGATATCTACAATATGTGTGTGTCTAGTAAGAACATTGTAACAATGTATCCGAAGATTCTCAGTCACGTCAGTCAAATATTACAAGGGACTTCCTGAAAATTAAGAGCTGTTTGATGATGCTGACCTCTCCTGCTATGGAAGTGTTTAAACAAAGCTTAGAAAGACCAACTGAAAGGGATGCTTCATCTGTGGATATCTTCGTTCTTCAGGAGTTTGGATTCAATGATGCTTGAGGTATTTTCCAGATTCTGTCAGTCCTTATTGTCCCTTCCTGGTATGTGGGTGTTGGAGGGAACAGGAGGCAGCCCTAATTCTCCAATAACATGGCTGAACCTACAAATGCAGATACCTGTGAAGATTCTCAGTCAGTCATCCAGGTGAGGTTATCTGGAAGTTGAGTCATGGCAACTTGGCTCCTTTCTTGTTAGGTTGAAATGTTTCGCTACTCACCCGAGTAGTATCTTCAGTCTGAGGAGAGTTGGTAGGAGATCCCTTATATATCCTCCATGTTGGTTTCATTTGCCCCTGGTTTGAATAGGCAATCATTGTAACAATGTCATTCTAACATAGAGAGACAAATCTTAGAAAAGCTATCATAACAGCATACAAGATCCAGGTTGAGATCCCTGCCCACCTGTTCATTTCCAAGGAACGAAAATCCAGCAAGAAGACACCACTTGGACATCCACCCATCTATATACTGCAAGGAAGCATTATTTGCACTCCATTACCAATATATCTGTGGGATGTGGTGGCGCTGTGGGTTAAACGGCAAACCCTCTGGACCGCAAGGTCATGAGATCAGCAGTTCAAATCCACGTGTTGGAGTCAGCTCCCATCGCTCGTCCCAGCTCCTGCCAACCTAGCAGTTTGAAAGCATGCAAAAAATGCGAGTAGATAAATAGATACCACCTTGGTGGGAAGGTAGCAGCGTTTCGTGTCTTGTCACGCTGGCCACATGACCATGGAAACTGTCTATGGACAAATGTTGGCTCTACAGCTTGGAGACGGGGATGAGCACCGTGCCCTAGAATCAGACACGACTGGACAATTTGTCAAGGAGAATCATTACCTTTACTACCAATATATAGCAGAATGCCAATTGCTTTGTAAAACTAACCAACCAGCCGATGGTGTCAATTTTTACTGACCTGGTCGTCTAATTCTGGGGACCTTTTGGTAAGAATTAGAATTCTTTTCTTTCTGAAAAATCAGTGTCTAATGACAGCTTTACAGGGCATATCTTATGGCAACAGGATTTCTGACACTGTTGGGGCATCATCTGACTGCTATCTTCAGGTAGCAGCAAAACGACAATGCTTCTCTTATCTGGTCTTTCTAGTTGCTCTCATGAAAGTCGGTGTGGTATACATTGGCTGCACTGCCCTCTCTTTTATCCCAATGAGCCGCACAGCCAAGATCTGTAATTGCCTTGTTCCTAATGTTGCGTAACTGTTAGCAAGACTCAAGCCAAGCATTAATGAATTTTACCAGAATTTCATTTTTTAATGAGCATCATTAATCGTTAGTCAGGCATGTTCCAACCCACACTTTGCAGAAGTGAGAGATTGCCAACTGTGTTGTGCTATAAAAGCAGCATATTTCCTCCCAGATTTCCTTATGAAGTGATATTTAAAACTATCTTATGAGATAGATGCATGTATATTTGACTTTTCTAAATGTTTAAGAGGATGTTGGCCTGATTCGACATCCCTTGCAGCAGTTAGGTTTATAATACTAATGCTCTTGGCTTCAAATATATGATCATGATCGTGCTTTAACTGGAACCAAAAAGTTGTATTCTACCAGCCTTCTAGTAGCTTTTTAAAAATATATGTAAAAATATATGTGCACAGGAAATAATGTGAAATTTGGCAGAACTGCCCAACTGCTAAAGAATCCAGGGAATATTAGTGTTCTTTAAAAACATATCAATTCAAGTATATTTACAGTGTCCTGGGTATCTGTGAGTTAGGTATCTGGCCATGGAGCCAGAGGTTGTGTCCATGGGTCAACACCCTACTATGCTTCCCTGGAGAAGAGCCAACCTGTGTGATGGACAAGCTGCACCATCTCAGGGCACCCCCAGAAGTTGTTGGTAGTAAACCAATTTTGTGCATTCTCTACCTAGAAAACCCTGAAAAGGGTCGCTATATTGACAGCATTTTGACTGAATGGTCTTGGAGATGCTCATTCTTTTTGACCTGGCTCTTACAGATTTGTTGGTTACTGTTAAGACATTTAAATGACTTGTCAAGCAGT